CCAAAGGGGGTCAGGGAGGGTGGCACTGTCCCCGAGGGGACTCAGGGAGGGTGGCACTGTCACCAAAGGGGGCTCAGGGAGGGTGGCACTGTCCCAAAGGGGGCTCAGGGAGGGTGGCACTGTCCCCAAGGGGGCTCAGGGAGGGTGGCACTGTCACCAAAGGGGGTCAGGGAGGGTGGCACTGTCACCAAGGGGGCTCAGGGAGGGTGGCACTGTCACCAAAGGGGGTCAGGAAGGGTAGCACTGTCCCCAGGAGGGCTCAGGGAGGGTGGCACTGTCCCTAAAGGGGGTCAGGAAGGGTGGCACTGTCACCAAGGGGGTTCAGGGAGGATGTGATGTCCCCAGGGATTTGGTCTAAGGGAGGATGGCACTGTCCCCAAGGAATGGAGCTCAGGAATTCTGTGATGTCCCCAAGGAGTGGCTCTCAAGAAGGGTGGCATTGTCCCCAAGGAATGAGGCTCAGGAATGATGTGATGTCCCCAAAGAATGGAGCTCGGGAATTCTGTGATGTCCCCAAGGAATGGAGCTTGGGAATTCTGTGATGTCCCCAAGGAACAGAGCTCGGGAATTCTGTGATGTCCCCAAGGAACGGAGCTTGGGAATTCTGTGATGTCCCCAAGGAAAGGAGCTCGGGAATGCTGTGATATTCCCAAGGAATGAGGCTGAGGAAGGACACGATGTCCCCAAGGAGCTCGGGAATGCTGTGATGTCCCCAAGGAAAGGAGCTCGGGAATGCTGTGATGTCCCCAAGCCTCGCTGCCACCTCCCCGGTGCCACTTACGTGACGCCTGCCTCCTGACGGTGCCCTGCAAGAGAAGGGGACAGGGATGAGGCGATCCCGGGAATCCCGGGGGTCCCCGCGGCCCCCCCAGGCTCACCCCGACACCGGGGGCCAGGATGAGATTTCCCACGGTGGCCTTGAGCTGCTCCACGGCGGCCTCGGCGCTGCCGGCCGCTTCCCGCGGCTGCACCGGTTTGATGTGCACGTAAAACTTGCGCGGCTCATCCTCGTCGTAGTCGGAATCGCTGGAGGAACACCCGGCATTCTCCACCTCACCTGAGCTCCCGTCAAGGCAATTCCCGCTTGGAATTCTCCTTGGATTTCCCCCCCAACACACAAAAACTGCCTCGGTTTTCCCGGCTCTGCGGTAAGGATACTGCGGGCGATGTCCGGGCGCACGGTGAATCCGTCCTCGTCCACCTCCGGGCAGCCCTGCGGGGACACGCTGGGACATTCCCGGTGCTCCCGCTTTGGGAACGGCAGCGCCGGGTGGGGGGCGCCGGGACACTCACCAGGTCGTTATCCGGAGATTCCCTAGGGAATGACAGCGGGATGTCAGGGGGGGAGAGGGGAAAGGGTGTGGGATGCAGGGATGGGGGAATTTGGGGATGGGGGAATTTGGGGATGGGGGAATTCGGGGATGG